ATTTTTTCTTTCCCTCTATCACGGCCTATCTCTTTTATCTCATCACGCACTAATAGATCTGTTTATATTATTTTAAATTACCAATTTTACACGTAAAATAAAATATATATATATAGTTGGTCGTTGAAGAGAGAAAGAGAGAGAGAGAGAGAGAGAGAGAGAGAGAGAGAGAGAGAAAGCGAAGATTATAAGAGCAAAAAGTGCAAGCACCACAAACAGACCTAATGATATTTAAATCAATGTGTGGCTATAACGTTATCCATTGTTTCTGCCATTTTGCTTCAGAACCAATAAAAAGGTTNACAACATTGGCTAGACCATAGACATCTATAATATACTAGACTGCGGTGCTCGCTTCTCTAGATGTACCGGTATATAATGGGCGCTTTTCAGCTACGTACACAAGCGACGCTGTGTAATATAGTGTCCACTAGTATGAGTGAGACGCACTGATATGCTCTTTCTCACACTAGTGGACACTGTGTTACACAGTGTCGCCTGCCTAAGTAGCATGAAAACGTTCAGCGAATGTTAATTTTGTGTTAGACATGTTTTATGTTAGACCCCAAACACTGATCTAACATGTTGAACTACCCAAGTAACATGAAAACGTTCAGCGAATGTTAATTTTGTGTTTGACATGTTTTATGTTAAACCCCGAACACTGATCTAACATATTGAACTAATATAAGTTTGAAATGTTCCTAAACGTACCTAAACGAAGAAAACATGATTTGCGACTGTTTTCTTGGATTCTGCATGTTAGTCTGAGAACATTCGGAGGACGTTTAGAAATTTTTTAAACCTGTATACAAATTTAAGATTTACTCAAGTAGCATAAAAACGTTCTCGTAACATTCGGCGAACGTTAATTAATTAAATGTAACAAAATATATTTCCAAATGTAACATAAAATATATTTGATTCAAATATAGCATTGTTTGAAACAAAAACTGTCGCGCTGTAAAAAAATTGTACTTTAAGTTATAATAATAATAAATAATTAATAATAATAAAAGAAATATTTTTATCCACTGTTGCAAGGGTACATTACACTGCAATANTTTTAATAAAATAATAATTTAAAGAAATAATAATAAATAAAATGTGTACAAGATAGCTAGAGAATAAGTAGATAAAAATAATCACATTCTAGTAAGGAATAAGTGGTCTCGCGGATTGAGTGCAGGGGCTGTGAATACAGAGGTCTCGAGTTCAAATCCTGCCATCATCTTAAGATTTTTTCAGATTCAGTTTCTTTCAATAGAGTTCATTGGATGATTGGCGAGCTGAATCGGGCTTCCAAAAATTAATTCAAGTGAAATCTCGAAGCTGTGTAAAAATGCAACCTGCGAAAAATTTTTTTATTCTCTCTGTGTAACGTTCGCCGAATGTTACGGAAACGTTTCAGTGAAACGTTCTGAGAACGTTTGCTGAATGTTAGGAGAATGTTAGTCCTGAGCGAACTTCTAACATAACAAAAACGTTTTTCACTGTTACTGTTCTAACATTCGCTGAACATTCTGAGAACATTTTTATGCTATTTGGGTGTGTACGTACCCAAGTAGCACGAAAACGTTCAGCGAATGTTAATTTTGTGTTAGACATGTTTTATGTTAGACCCCGAACACTGATCTAACATGTTGAACTAATATAAGTTTGAAATGTTCGTACCCAAGAAGCATAAAAACGTTCAGCGAATGTTAATTTTCTGTTAGACTCCGAACACTGATCTAACATGTCGAACTAATATAAGTTTGAAATGTTTGTACCTAAACGAAGAAAACGTTACGATTTGCGACTTTTCTTGGATTCTACATGTTAGTTTGAGAACATTCAGAGGACGTTTAGAAATTTTTTAAAACTATACAAATTTAAAATTTACCCAAGTAGCATAAAAACGTTCTCGTAACATTTGGCGAACATTCTCAGAACGTTTTACTGAAACGTTCCCGTAAAATTCGGCGAACGTTAATTAATTAAATGTAACATGAAATATATTTATAAATGTAACAAAATATATTTGATTTATTAATAGTGATTGGAAACTTTGACCATAAAGAGCAGACACGGTTGTTGATGTGTGCAGTTGCAAATAGTATTTTTTTATTGCAAAAATATATTATATGTAACAATTATGACTTAAGGCTTGTTGAAATTAATAACAAGAAATATATAAGGCTTTATGAGCCATTCGCAGGATGTTTGAGCGAAACCTGTGCGTGTATATATATATATACACATGTAACGAACTCAACTTGTAAAATTTTTACAAGTGAGTGTTTTTTGAATTGAAATCTCAATTCTTAAATTCATACGGAATACTGGATTTGCATCTCACATATAAGAGACCGGATACCCCCCTAACTAATTTTAAAATATTGCGAAAAAAACTTCTCCTTTATTAATTTTAACGAGCCTTAAGTCATAATTGTTTAAAATTACGCTGGCTGAAAATTAGCGTTAACAACATTATCAGATCATCTTCGATATATGTATGAATTGCGAGACTAACTCCAAGTGCCTCGGTGGCCTAATAGGGAAGGCGATGGCACGGAAAGCCGGAGATTCCAGGTTCGACTCCTGGCCGAGTAGTTTTTTTCGCAATATTTTAAAATTAGTTAATTTTATAAACTACGAACGGACGTGAGTATTGTGGTAATGGATCTTTGAGGACGTGAAAACAATGTTCGAAACAATGCTTGATTCAAATATAGCATTGTTTGAGACAAAAACTTTTGCGCTGTAAAAATGTACTTTAAATTATAATAATAATTAATAATTAATAATAATAAGAGAAATATTTTTATCCACTGTTGCAGGGGTACATTACACTGCAATATTTTTAATAAAATAATAATTTAGAGAAATAATAAATAAAATGTGTACAGGATAGCTTGAGAATAAGTTGATAAAAATAATCACATTTTAGTAAAGAATAAGTGGTCTCGTGGACTGAGTGCAGGGGCTGTGAATACAGAGGTCTCGAGTTCAAATCTTGCCATCTTCTTAAGATTTTTTCAGATCCAGTTTCTTTCAATAGAGTTTATTATCGGTTGATTGGCGAGCTGAATCAGGCCTCCAAAGATTAATTCAAGTGAAATCTCGAAGCTGTTTAAAAACGCAAGCCGCGAAAAATTTTTTTATTCTCTCTGTGTAACGTTCGCCGAATGTTACGGGAACGTTTCAGTAAAACGTTCTGAGAATGTTTGCTGAATGTTAGGAGAATGTTAGTCCTGAGCGAACTTTTAACATAACAAAAACGTTTTTCACTGTTACTGTTCTAACATTCGCCGAACATTCTGAGAACGTTTTTATGCTACTTGGGTAGCTGGAAAGCATCTAATGTACAACTTATACATGACATAGTAACCGATTGGAATGTGTGTTGTCTGCTCTTCGCTTCGTGATACATATGTCGTACTGCAAGACGGTAAATCGTGCGTGGTAAAAGAAATAATTTTTCTTTAAAATTTCTCTTGCTTTAAAGTTNTTTTCTATTCGATGGATTTTATCTGACAGATTATCAACGCTTCTATGTTACGAGCATCGAAATATTNGTATTAAAACAGAATCGGAGAAGAAACTATTTCTTTTGACGTGCACGATTTATTGCTATCGGCTGCTTTCCTTTTAGGAGACACAGTTGACAGAAGTCGACACAAGAGTCATTCTGTCTTTGTTTCTCACTGAATACTGAACGAAGACAGAATGATTTTTGTGTCAACTTGTGTCGACTGTGTCTCCTAAAAGGAAAGCAGCCATAGATGTCTATGGGCTAGACTCTTATTTCTAGGGACTCTACAATAGAATGGTCGCGCGCGCTCTCACAAGGAGAGGGCACGATGTGTGACCAATCNATTTTGCCGGAACTTTTTGTATCGATAGGTCACTATGCCAAGCTACAGTATATACAGAGGCTGCTTTCCTTTTAAAAGACACAGTCGACACAAGTCGACACAAAAGTCATTCTGTCTTTGTTCAGTATTCAGTGAGAAACAAAGACAGAATGACTCTTGTGTCGACTTATGTTGACTGTGTCTCTTAAAAGGAAAGCAGCCAGAGAGAAGCCTGAGAGCGGCTATGCCATTGTAGTTTCTTAGTCGGTTTCAGCCGCTGGTTTTAGCTGTATTCCCACAAAAGTGGAACTCAAAGGCCGTTCTACATTAAACGCAAGTTGCAGATCTCGTGGAATTGACTAATTGCAGAGTCAAATCATCCAATCGACCAACGTGATTGATCAGTTCCACGAGACCTGCGACTTGGGTTTAATGGAGAACGGTCTTTGAGTTTCACTTTTGTGGAAATACGGCTAAAACCAGAGGCTGAAACCGTCGTAAGAAACTACAATGGCATGGCCGCTCTCAGGCTTCTCTCTGGTATATACAGTAACGCAACTCTCTGTCGGTATTTTTGATGTTTGAGTGCCGTATATATGCGCATGCGTGTCCGTAGTACCTATATACTAACCACCCCGATAGCCAAATGATAGCAGTATGCCAGCAGTATGCACGCAAGTTTAATCAGCACTTTGCAGCAGATTCCACTCAGCTGTGTCATCATAGTGAGTGAATTATGTAGGCACGATACGTAAAGAAAACAACACAGCAAAAATATAGAAATAAATAAAGAATGAAATAACAATAGCACGTTATGCTTTAAATCTGCTACATTTTTTGAGGAAGTTCTGCTTGATTGATGCAATAATATTTACATCACGGCATGACATATTTATATTCTTTTTTTCTGTTTTTCTGGCGACACTAGTTGAAATAACAGATTATGTGTGAATGCTGGCTACATTGTACTGGCATAATGTGTTATTGCAAACTTTTCAAAATATGATCACTCAGTCTTGGTTATCTGGGCAATAGCGTTACAGACATTTTCTGTCTTGCTTCCTCTCTTATTTTTGCTCTTTAGGCCAAAGCACAAACTTTTGCATAACGCATAACGCATAAAACATAAGAAAATCAATCAATCCAGCTTTTCGTTTTTATCCCTACTTCTTGTTCTAGAAAGCTTAGATTGGTTGATTTTCTTATGTCTCACGCGTTATGCGTTATGCAAAAGTCTGTGCTTCGGCCTTTTTTCTCACTACTATTTAAATGCCCATATGACGTTTTTCTGTAGAAAGTGGCGGTAAAAGAAAAGATTTTAGGTTGTAAAGAAGTGCGATGTGTGTTAAACACCACCTTACTGTGTTAATTATAATATGAAGTGATAGCGTTCAGTGTGATTTCTTGATCAGTGTTCAGTGTTTTGTGAACAGTGAAAAAGTGTTTAATAACCAAGAGGAAAAAGAGAATAATTAATCTGTATAAAGATCATACAGATTCTCAATTCTCTTTTACACTTTGATCTTAGTTTTTTTGCAGGTATAACTTTAAATCAGAAAAAAGAATGGCAGTTCAAATGCTTGGTGTATTGTAAAGGAGTGCAACAACAGGATTGTTGCAGAAAAAAGACATTTTTTTTGTTTTTCAAAGGAACATAACAGGTATGATTTTGATTTACCTACATTATATTTTTTAAACTATGTAAATGTTTATTATTCGCAATTATATTTTCAAATTTGTATTTATGGATGGGTATATGTTATATTCATTACATGTATTTACATTATATGTATTTATATATTAACAAATTGTTATGCCATTATATACAGATGGTTGAAATGGATAGAAAGTATGTAAAAAACAAGATAAAGTGATAGAACCAGAATGCCTATTTGAAATATCGAATGTGGCATTTACATTTTGAAGAGGAATGGTACAAAGGAAACAAAAAGAGAGCGTATCTTTATCCAGATGCTATACCGACAATATTTGAAAGGTAAATTCTTATAATATAGATACAGCGATCTGTGCATGTGTTTTTGATTTAGATATATTGTAAGACGTCTGAAATAATGATAATCATTTTTATCCAGGACACTTATAAGCTTGTATATGCCGAAAATATATCGGATAATCATTTTGTAGCATCAAAGGATTCAGAGGTAAATTTCGCGCTCTAGTTTATTGTTTGTATATTGTTACTTGTTTAGCGATTATTTATTTTTAATACTTGTTGAAGCTTTTACAATTTTTACGGAGTCTGAAATCAACTTACGACTTAAGAGGGTACTGGAGCGAGATCCGAAGTCCGCACTGTGGTCTCTGCCCGGGAAGTGGCGCCCTCAAGTGGTTGAGTTAGTCCATCCTTCTTTTAAAGTGAGACGGACTAATCGCGCTTGTCTCTCGCGTCCAGTGATGTGCTGTTGTGGGAATAAAGTTGCGTCTGCGCAATAGGCAAATGCAATGAATTCTCACTGACGTATATACTTCGGTCAAATATGAGGTATTATTAGATCCCAGTGAGAAAAGAAATGTGAAAAAAATTGCAGAGAGAAAACAAATTTTGATTAAAGAAATAAAATACATTTAATATAAATGATAATAGGAAAATTGGAAATAGGAAAATTCATTTGTTATTTTTTACGTCTGCAGCCGATTTATTACATGAATAAATACCAACATTTGTTGCGAGGATAAAGAAACTGCAGAAACCTTACCAATATTCGAAGAAAACTGTATATAAAACATTATACACATAAGAAATAATACATATATACTTATACTTAAATATTTATACACTAAATAGTAAACAATACAATATACTTAAATCTGAATACATAAACTTAAATCTTAATAATAATACAATAAATAC